CTGCAGTGGCTGGGAGCATGCCACTGCACTCCAGTCTGGGCGACAGAGTGAGACTCCAACTCAAAAAAAAGAAAAAGAAAAATTCGGCTGGGTTTGGTGGCTCAACCTGTAATCCCAGCGCTTTGGGAAGCCAAGGTGAGTGGATTGCCTGAGCCCGCGGGTTTGAGACCCACCTGGGCAACTTAGCAAGACCTCATCTCTACAATAAATAAAAAATTAGCCGGGCGTGGTAGCACACGCCTGTAGTTCCAACTACTTGGAAGGCTGAGGCGGAAGGATCACCGGAGCCCAGCAGGTCGAGGCTGCGGTAGCCGGGAGCGGCCACTGCACTCCAGCCTGGGTGACAGAGTGAGACTCCAACTCAAAAATTAATAAGTAAATTAAATAAATAAAAGAAAAGAAAAAAGAAAAATTCAATGTCATTTCGTGTTTTTTACATGGACTGTGTATAGTTTGTTAAAGAAAAGTCACTGTTTCACGTCCTTGTCCCCTGTGGATACACACTGGGTCATTCTCCATGTCACGTGCTCTGAGGGACTGACGGCCCAGTTCTCTGCGTGTCAGCTGGATTTTGGCACCATAAGATCCAGAAGTGGCAGCAGCTACTGTAGGGCTGTCCATTTTTGTCTTGGTGTCAGGACTTGCAGGTCCGGGATACGGTGTGTGAGCTATTCAGCTTGACTCCAGCAGGTGGAAGGTCATCTATCTGGGGTTCTTGTGAGATGAGAGGTGTAAACCAGATCATGCAGTTAGAAGAATTCACAGATATTGTTTAGCCGGGTGTGGTAGCGTGTGCCTGTAGTTCCAGCTACTTGGAAGGCTGAGGCGGGAGGATCACCAGAGCCCAGGAGGTTGATGCTGGGGTGGCTGTGAGCGTGTGTGCCACTGCACTCCAGCCTGGGCGACAGAATGAGACTCCAACTCAAGACCTCATCTCTACAATAAATCAAAAATTAGCCGGGCGAATTAAAAAAAAAAAGAATTCACGGAGGTTGAACACTTGTAACTAAAGAGACCAAATCACCCCTGTATTAAGCTTGGGAGGATAGATGGCCAGTTGAATAAGCAGCACTGGCTGGACCATCTACTCTGGACTGTTTAAGGGACAGAGGCAGCATTGGGTCGAGTTGTGGTACAGTGCTGGTAGTAGGGAGTTGTACGATGAGCCTGTGTTAGCACAGTGATGAATTGTTTTCTAGGAGGGATCAGAATGTCCAATGGGGCCTCCTCCTGGACTCAGACTCATGCTCACCCACCTGCTCCCAGCTCATGCGGTCTCTCAGGCCTCTCAGGTGTCAGACTCCCAGTCGCTGCCACCTTCTCTTAGCCCACCCTGTGGGCGGACAGCCATGTGGACTTCCTTGGCTGTATCCTGAGCCTGGACACCCCCTCATTCGCTGCTGCCCCCTCTGCTCTCCTGTGGGGGCTTCAGCCACATGGCTGCCTTGTTCTCCTTCTGGGGGCTGCTGGGCCACTTCCCATACCAATGCCAGTCTCTGTGCAGACGTCACATTCGTCCTGAGGCCACTGTGGGCTCTGGCACCTCCTGAGCTTCATTTGTCCTGGGTCTTACACCTTGTTCCTAACAACACACAGGGCTGACTTCTAGGTGGGACTTGGGGTCCCTTGGTTCAGTGTCAAGTCCCTGGGCAGAGGGGCCATCTCAGGGGAGGGGCTTTGAGTACAGAGCATGTGGTGCTGGCCCAAGGACATGTGTGAGAACAGGCTCACCCTCAGGACAGCTGGTGAGACAGGGGGCACAGAGCCCAGAAGCCCAGAGAAGGAGGTCCCTGTGCACGAGACATGAGAATGGGGGCCTGGATGTAGCAGGGGTCCCGTGGGCTCTCTCCAGGCTGGGATCTGGTCAGGAGCCTGTGTGCAGCCTGCAATGTTGGCTCAGGAGCCACCCAGCTGCTTAGGACCGAGAGGGCCGGACTGGACCCATGCAGAGTCCAGTCCGTGGACCCGGGTGAGGCTGTTGTTCTTTGGGGGTCATGCTGGGGATTTGCTGCAGAACAGCGAGGGGCTACAGTTGAGAGACTAGGGCCTGGGGATGAGTATTTGGGTCAGTCAGAAGCCTTGGGTTTGGCTTCGTTGTGAATCAGAGTCACATGGGCAGGCTGGGGCAGATCCCATTTCTGCTCAAGTGTCTTCCATGTGGGTTCTGTGTGCGGGCCACATGCCCATCCCCTTGAGGAGGGGGTGGCTGAGTGACTGCCAGCCCTCTGGTGAGCCACAGCCTTGCTGTCCCTGCCCATCCAGGCCCCTCAGAGTGAGGCCCTTTGTACCTTGATCCTGACATAAAGACCGTGAGCTCGGCCATACATTCAAAATTGCAAACTAAATGTGCCAACATGTTATTTTTTAGACATGCAAGAAAGCACTTCAGTCAAGCTGAAGGGAGCCAACTGGATGAAGTCCGCCAGGTCATGGGCATGCTGGCCTTCCCACCGGACACACATATCTCCCCATACAAGGTATGCTGTGCCCCTGTTGTCGCTGACAGTGGGTGTGCAGCATGTGGCTCCGGCATTGCAGTCCTGTAAGGTCCTGGGGGAGCTGCTTGTACACACCTTGTTCTGTTGTCCAGACCTGCCTTTTCCTGTTGTTTCCATCTTGCTGATGAGAAACTTGACTCAACCTGCGCACTGATGGTGCCTACCCTGCCACTGCCCATGTTGTTAGCTGTCCCTTCCAGGAGCTGCCCTGAGAGGGTCCCCAGCACCCTCTGCCCTGTCTCTTCCAGGATCTCCTAGACCCAGCAAGGTGGCGGATGCTGATCCAGCAGTTCCGGTATGACAACTACCGACTGCACCAGCTGGGAAACAACTCTGTGTTCACACTCACGCTGCAGGCCGGTCTCTCAGCCATAAAGACCCCGTATCCTCCCTGAGCACGGCAAGTCTGGGCTCATGTCTTTGGTAACATTTTAATAGGCTTACCCACCCCTTCCCTCCCTTTCCCGTCAGGGAGACACAGGCTGAGTCCCACCACAGACATCCCTGTGCTGCCCCTCTTATGCCTGCCCACTGCCAAGTCAGGGATTTTGGAGAGGGGTCCTCCGTGGGGCAGGGAACACCTCCCTGCTTCAGCCCCATCCATCACCTTCGGTGTCACCACGGACACCTTGTTCATCTAGAACAGGTGTGTGCATGTGTCCTGGCAGCTGGCACAGGAACCATTCCCAAGAGTTTTCCCATCTGAGTCCCAAGGGTCCTCTAGAACTTTGGTTAGTCTGAACGCTCCAGTACCAGCAAGCTGCTTCTTTTCAAATTAGCTCATTAAAAGGGGGTCATGCATCTGGCAGACAACAGCCCCCCCTCTAGAGAGCTGAATGTGGTCCATGCTGGATCCTCTGAGGCAAGATGGTCCTGACCAGAACTGCCCTCAGTTCTTCCCAAAAGACTCCCATCTCCGGCACTCTACCTGCATGACTGTCATTAGCTAGAACTGTCACCTACCGCTGGGCACCTGGCCAAGCCCTGAGAGTGACAGGACAGTTTCCATTAAGGAGGCTCAGTCCTTCAGTACTCACTGTCTCTCATGTGACTGACTCTAACCTTTGTATAAGTGACTCTGACCCTACTGTAACTGATTGTCCTCTGGCTGACTTTGTGTCCTGTGACTGACTGTCCTCCTACGGCCAACACTGTCTCCTGTGATCAACTCTGTCTCCTGAGGCAGCCTCTGTCCTCCTGTGGCTGATTCTGCCCTCCTGTGACCGACTCTGTCCTCCTGTGACTGACTGTCTCCTGTGTCTGACTGTCCTGTCTTTGACTGACTCTATCCCACATGTGATGGAGTGTTTCACCTGTAACTCACTCTGTTCTCATGGGACATGACTCATCTGGAGACTCTTGAGTGTTCTGGGACCTCTGCTGGTGCCCGGCTATGCTGGACTTTGAATTGAGGGTGAAACTTGCTCGTTCTTACCATCTCTGTGGAACTCTCTCTGGAGAGTTAGAACCTCTTGCTCAATTCCTTTCCTAAGTTCCATAAGGATGTCCCTGCTGTTGGGGCTCTGGCCTCTGTTACCTTGAGAGAGTGCAGGAGTGGGAGTGAGTGGTGGATGACCGGCCCACCTGGCCCTGTCCTCTGCAAGAGGGGCTGGAGTAGGGAGAGTTCTAACCTCTTGTCTCCTGTCAGGCCTATGTGAGGCTGTTTTACCGTTGGATGGAGCATTTTCTGTGTCTTGAAAGAGAGCCCTGTTTGTTTTTTTACACGGTGCCCACGTGGCTGTGAAGGCACTCGGAGCCTAGCACATGGGTGGCCGCAGGGGTCTTTGTCTCATCCCTTCCTTAACTCAGTACACAGACAGTGCTACAAGGAAGATGGCAGTTCCAAGAGCCCTGACTGCCCTGTATGCAGCCGCTCCCTGAACAAGCTGGCGCAGCCCCTCCCCATGGCTCACTGTGCCAACTCCCGCCTGGTCTGCAAGATCTCTGGTGACGTGATGAACGAGAACAACCCGCCCATGATGCTGCCCAATGGCTACGTCTACGGCTACAACGTGAGCGCCAGGTGCCAGGGTGGGCCAGGCTGGGCGGGCTGTCCCCTCTTCCTGTCTCTGCCTAACGCACTGGTCTCCGCTGACGTTGGAAATGGGGAAAGGGGTGGGGATCAACAGGTGAGCCATCCCAGGACTCCTCTGACAGGTGTACCTTGGGGAAGTAGCTTTGCATAAGAAGTTGGCTTATGCCCTGATCCTCTGTGATGGGGATTTCATTGAGACCCCAAGTCATATTGTTATATACGCTGTATTTGCTTGTCTTGATGCATGCCCGGTCTTATTTTTCAGTCCCTGCTTTCTATCCGTCAAGATGACAAAGTTGTTTGCCCAAGAACCAAAGAAGTCTTTCACTTCTCACAAGCTGAGAAAGTGTACATCATGTAGGCACCGCGTCGCCAAGCTCGCCTCGGGGGCCAGGCTCTGCGGCGTGGAGGCTGTGCCTTCCTCCTGCTGTCAAGCCCAGCCTGCCGTGGCGCTTCTGTCTCCAGCGACCAAAGATCAGTGAGCAACGAGAAATACTCTTAGGAAGAGCGGAATAAGGTTTAATAAGTTTGTACTTGAAACAACATTTTGATTGGTAAGATTTTGTAACATAAGTCAACTCTTTGATGCTTCTGAAAAGTACTTTCAGCTTTCAAAGGAAACTTTCTTTAAAGACAGACCTAAACACCGAGGGAACCTTTAGAACATTTCAGAAATAGGAATCGGTGATCTTCTCGTGTTTCTCAGTTCCTTCCCTTCTGCTGATAAGGGGACTTGGAGCATGGGCTGGTCCTTCACCACTTCCCGTTGGCCCTGGCATGGCCTGGGATGGTGGTGACTGAGCTGGCCTGACCTGCAGTGACTCGTGATGTGGTGCCACGAGGGACATTCATGACTTCATTCTAGAGCTGCTGCCAAAATGCCCAGCACCTTGGCCCATGGGGATGCTGGCTTCAAGGATGCCTGCCTCCCCTGTGGGCGGTGTCCATGGGTGCACAGGTCAATGTCACCTTCCGTGTGCCGCCTTACTTCTTGCTTTGAGAATGTATTCACGTGGAAAGCCACTGGACCAAGTTTCTGCAGAGGCCTTGCTGTATGGTTCCGTGACTTTTAGAGTCTAAACACTATTCATCACAGAAACTAATCGTTCAGTTGAATAAGTACTGATGACTTTTCACAACAGATGAACCATTGTAGTTTACACAGAACCGTACTGTAGAGGTTTGTATTTAGCGCTTATTTTTGCATGTTGATGTTGATTAGCTAATAAACTGTAAATGTAAAACATGTTAATAAAATGTTTTCTATTTCTTATTTCTGTGTGAGGCAGAAGCTAATGTGTGTTTCTGACACCCTGAGCTGTGTTCTGCTCTTCCCTGGGCCAGTTAGCAAAGAGGGCTGGACCTTCCCCCATGGATGGGGGGTGGGGACTGAGTGTGCAGCCAAAATGGAGCTCGGTCACAGCTAGAGGCCACGCCAGCCCAGACAGCACGGGAATGGGTGCTTCTGTCCCAGCCCAGCCTCACAGAGCCCACCTCACTGACCTTATGAGAGCCACCTTGAGGGACAATGGCACCTGTCTCAATTCCTGATGTTGCAGCTGGTTTCTGCTGGCCCTGCTGGTACCCTCCTGGGGCATAGGTGGCACAGGCTTAGAGCATCACACTGCCCCAGTTGGAGAGCTACGGATTCTGCGGCTGGATTCTAGCAGACTCCGTTGCTGCTTCCTGGGGCCTGCAGGCCATGGTCCATTGCAGGCAGGGGCTCAGGCTGCAGCCACCGGCAAGCCAGCTCCGGGATCCCGAGTCCAGGGCTGGGGCTGGGAGATCTGGAGGCCGAAGCCACTGACCTGCCTCCTCTCCCTAACACCTACTTTCTTTAGTGCCCAATTCTGTGGCCAGCCTTGTGCCTGCAGTCCCAACTCTTGCTCCATGGCACAGTCTTGGCCACTCCATAACCACCATACAGCTACAGCTCAGACACATTCATAGGCATTCCTCTTCTGGGTGCGTATCCTGGTCAGGCATCTGCTGAAGTAGACACCCGCGGTGCCCGCTGCCGACCTCTACTTCTGCGGTCTGCATCCCAAAGCCACAGTCTCCAGGTCCCCACCCTGTGCTCTGCTGCAGGGTCTCCCAGGATTCGTATGGTCACGTTGTCACGTGCTGCCAGTCAGCCCTTCCACACCCAGGCAGGGCCTGTGGCGGGCCTGGTGTCTGCCTCCTGCGCCCCTAACAGCCGGTGAGAGGATGCAGAGGAATGATGTCAGCTGTGCCCAGGACCCCACCAAGCCAACCTCGGCTGGCAATGCTTCCACCTCAGCCTCCTGAGTATCTGAGGCTACAAGCGCACACCACAATTCCTGGCTAATATTTTTTGTTTTTATAGAGATGGTCTTGCTATGTTGCCCAGACTGGTTTCAAACTCCTGGGCTCAAGTGATCCTCACACCTCAGCCTCCCAAAATGCTGTGGTTACAGATGTGAGCCACTGCATCAGGTCCCTTTGTTATAAAGTGTAACACATCAGAGTGCACATGTTCTAATGTTCACACAACGAATTTCCACATTGCACCCGCATGTAAACACCACACGGACTGTTCCAGCCCCCAGCTCCTTTCCTAGTCAGTATTCTGGCAACTGCTATTCATCAGAGTTCAGTCAACTCTTGAGCTTCGTGAAAACGGAACCACAGCATGGGATCCTGTAGCTCAGCCTAGCTTGTGGGCGACTCACAGCACAATTCCATTCTGCTCGCAGGTGTGTGTGTGTGTACATCAGTGGAACAGCATGGCACATCATTGGACATCTGGGTTGTTCCAGATAAAGCTGCTGAGAAAACCCATACATGACTTCGGCCAGACACATTCCTTTGAAGGAAGACACTGAGGATGGCATCGCTGGGCCTGTGTAACAGCAGACACTGAGGATTGGCCGGAGTGGTTGACTTGTATCCACCCGCGTGCAGCATGTGCACCTCCTGCCTGCTCCATGGCTCCATGCCCTCGTCTGCACTGGGCATCGTTAACTTTAGACCTCCTGTTGGCTGGCAGTGTTGCCTCGCTGGGTTCTTTCTTAAAAACTGAGGTTAAAACTACATAAGGGCCGGGCGTGGTGGCTCACGCCTGTAATCCCAGCACTTTGGGAGGCTGAGGCAAGAGGATTACCTGAGCCCAGGGGTTTGAGACCAGCCTGGGCAACATGGCAAGACCTCACCTCTACAGAAACAACAAAACAAAAACTACACACATCTTAAGGAAAAACGATTCAGTAAATCTTAGCAAATGTACACCTGTATATAACCAACACTTAAGCCCAGGCATAGACCATTCTCATAGCCCCAGAAAGTGACACTTTGTATTTTTGGGGCTATTCACAACCCCTATGCACAGTGCTCTGATTTTTCACCATAGACTAATTGCATCTTTATGTAAATCAAATCATAGAGTATGTACTCTCTCGTGTCTGGCTTGTTTCATTCAGCAAACGCTTTTGAGATTCGTCCACTTTGTTGTGTGGATCAGTTGTTCCTTCTTTGTGTATTGCCGAGCAGTAACAGTAATCCTATTCCATGTTTACACATCACACATCCATTCTCTTCTTTTTTTTTTTTTTTTTTTTGAGTAGGAGTCTCACTCTGTCGCCCAGACTGGAGTGCAGTGGCCGCTCCCGGCCACCGCAGCCTTGACCTGCTGGGCTCCGGCGATCCTTCCACCTCAGCCTTCCGAGTAGCCGGAATTACAGGCATGCACTACCACGCCCAGCTGATTTTTTGATTTATTGTAGAGATGAGGTCTCGCTGCCCAGGCAGGTCTCGAACCCGCGGGCTCAGGCAATCCACTCACCTCAGCCTCCCAAAGGTGCGGGATTACAGACTGAGCCACCGAGCAAGGCTCCATTCTCTTCTTGATGGACGTTTGAGAGGTGGTTCCCTGGCCTTTTCTATTACGAGTAAAGCTGTTATGGACATTTGTGTACAAGTCTTTTTGTGGACGTTTTCATTTCTTTTGGAAGCAATTCTCCTGACGTAGAATAACTGAGATGTGGTATTGCTGTATGTTTAATTGTATGACTGCCAGAAATTTTTCCAAAGTGGCGATACCACTATACACTCCAGCAGTATATGAGGGCTCCACTTGCTCCATATCTTTGGGCTTGTCATTCTTTCTCATGTCATTCAGGTGGGTGTGTGCTGGGACCTCACTGTGGTTTTCATTTGCTTTTCTTTGATGACTCATGATGTTGAGTGCCTTTTAGTGTGCTGACTGGTTATTCGTATATTCTAGTCTTTTACTCATTTAAAATTGCATTATCTTATTGATTTGCAGGAATTATTTACATACAAATCCTTTGCCACATATATGTATTTTTTTAAATATAAATTTTAAAAATATATATTAAGGCCAGGCGTGGTGGCTCAAGTCTTTAATCCCAGCACTTTGGGAGGCCGAGGCGAGAGGATTGCCTGAGCCCAGGGGTTCGTGACCAGCCTAGGCAACTTGGTGAGACCTCGTCTCTGCAATAGATCAAATCATTAGCCGGGCATGGTAGCGCATGCCTGTAGTTCCGGCTACTTGGAAGGCTGAGGCAGAAGGATCGCCTGAGCCCAGCAGGTCGAGGCTGCGGTGGCCGGAAGCGGCCACTGCACTCCAGTCTGGGCGATACAGTGAGACTCCAACTAAAAAAAAAAAAAAAAAATTACAGGCATGAGCCACTATGTCTGGTTGACAGTGTGCCATTTGATCAGTGGTTTTAACTCTTAAGTGCAGTTCAGTTTATTAATTTTCATTAATGCCTTTCTATGTTCTAAAAATTGCATATCCCAGGGTCACAATAATATTCTCACAACTTCTAGAAGATTTAGTTTCAGTTTTTTTTTCTTTTCTGGTGATCCTTTTGCCTCAGCCTTCCAAATAGCTGGAATTACAGATGCATGCCACCACGACTGGCTAATTATTATTTTTTATTTATTACAGAGACGAGGACTCACCAAGTTGCCCAAGCTGGTCTTAAACCCCGGGCTCAGGCAATCCTCTCACCTCAGTCTCCCAAAGTGCTGGGATTATAGGCGTGAGCCACTGTGCCTAGGTTAGTTTTAGCTTTTACATTTAGGTCTATGACAGATCTCAAATTAAGTTTTGTGTAGTGTGAGGAAGAGCTTGCAGGTCATTTTCCACTCCTGTCTATATACGTTTATATGTTTATTCTATTGTTCCAGCATCATTTTTTAAAAAGACTTCTTGTCCTGTTAAATAATATTGGCTCCTTTGGTTTTTTTGTTGTTTTGTTCAAATCAGACTGTGTAAGTTTGGGTTTATTTCTGTTTTGGTTTTTTTTTGTTGTTGTTTTGAGTTGGAGTCTCACTCTGTCACCCAGACTGGAGGACCTTCTGGGCTCCGGCGATCCTTCTGTCTCAGCCTTCCAAGTAGCTGGAACTACAGGCGCGCACTACCACGCCCGGCTAGTTTTTTTGATTTATTGTGGAGATGAGGTCTTGCCAAGTTGCCCGAGCTGGTCTCGAACCCACAGGCTCAAGCAATCCACTTGCCTTGACTTCCCAAAGTGCCAGGATTACAGGCTGAGCCACTGAGTCTGGCCAGTTTTATAGTTTTTAGTGTATATACTTTGCACATATTTTATTGATTTCACTCTCTGAGTATTTCATGATTTTTTAAATGCTATTAAAATTTAACCTAATTATTCATTGGTATTATATAGACATATAAGTAACTTCTGTATATTGAACTTATAAATATTGCGACCTTACTAAACTTATTCGGTTTTTTGGGTAAATTTTAAGAATTTTCTAAATACACGATTGTACTAGCTAGGACTGCTGGTAATGTTAAATAGATGGGGTGGGAATGGACATCCTTGTCTCATTTCCAATCTTAGGCAGAAAGCATTACATTTTTTTTCCCCGCTCAAGGTTTCACTTTGTTGCCCAGGCTGGAGTGCAGTGGCACACTCATGGCTTACTGTAGCCTTGACCTCCTGGGCTCAGGTGAGTCTTCTGCTTCAGCCTTCTGAGTAGCTAGGACTACAGGCACACACCACCACACTTAGATAATTTTTATTTTTTGTAGAAACAAGGTCTCGCCATGTTACCCAGGTTTGTCTGTAACTCCTGGTACAAGCACTCCTCCCACCTTGGCCTCTGAAGTGGTGGGATTACAGCCATGAGCCACTATGCCTGGCTAGCATTCTTTTACAGTGAAGGATGATGTTTTTGTGGGCTTTTCTGCAGATGACCTTACCAGGCTGGAGCAGTTCCGCCTGAGTTTCCTACACGTTATTATCACGAATGGATGGTG